GGTGTTAAGGTGTACAACTCTCTCTACCAGCACTGACCAATGTTAAGATTTGAAAAGAAAGCAATGTGGATCAACACCAAATTATGAAACAAAAATATATTTATAACACTACAGCAAATTGTTTACTACATAATATTGTGGAAATCAAAATATCAAATTAAACGCACATTGATCCAAATTACAGAAAGAAAAACATTAACATTAAGGCTTCATAGCTATGAACTCTTTTAAAGGAAAAACACTGCATTCTTTTAAACCAATAGTATTTTTTACAACGCTTACTAATTGCTAAGTCGCCGAAAAAGGGTTTTTTTTAATGCATTTTTTCCGAAGTTCCGTATGCTCGCGTAATTTTGTACTTAAGTACTACTTGTCGGAAAGATGAAAACTGGCTGTTTTTGCCTCGAGTAGAATAAAAGACTCCAATATAATGAAATTAGAAACCATGAAACACATTGAATTATTAAAACTTTGAATGAAAATAGTTATTTGTGATTCCTGAAAAATATATATTATACAAATAGAAACAATTGATGGCTTTATAGGAATTGTGGTTTAAAAGAAAAAAACCCTTGGTTATCGATACTGAGTTTTGAAGATGATGTCTTACAAATGAATATCGAGTCTGAAAAAAGTCATTAGTGGCGCGGCGTTGATGAAATAGTGAATCTATATGCTTGCGATGGTGATTATAGAAATACCTGCTGTGCTCGATCCGTGTTGTGTTGGAGATATGATTATTGTCTTGAATGGTGAGTGAACCGGTATTAGGCGAATAGGCAAACATAACTTACTGCCAGACAAATACTTCTGATGCAGTAGGTACACGTTGAGTTGTTAATTTGTACATGTTAATCTTTCTTAGTTATCTCGTGCAGTATTTTAATACAGGATTTGCAGAGCAAATAAGCTTTACTTTGGTTTGTTTACGCCAGGATGAAATAATAATAATAATAATAGTGATAACAATAATAATAATAAAGCTATATTTGAATTTGCTTCAGTTATTTTTGTGTTACGAAACATATTTTTTTTATGAATTTTTCAGATATTCCCTTGAAAGCTTATTTTTATGAATGCCCAGACTAATTTGAAAATGGTTTGGATCTAAATTGACATAAAATAAGACGACTTAGCGAAGAGATCCGAAATATTTGAAGAAAACATTTTAAAAAGTTTCGTTCTATTTCGAAAGAAATTTTCGAAATTCACTTGAGAAATCCCTAAACTGTATTTCATTGAATTGAACTACAAATACTCGATTACAATATCATTCTTTAAAACACAACAGCGCTCTAGATTTTCCGAAAACAAGAGAAAATCCATACTCAGTGAAAAGCTAAATAAATGCCAAGATCTAGAAATCAGTTGAAGGTAAAGTCATTCAAATCATACTTTTATACACGAGCCATGCTAGGATGCATGGTATGTTCCACCTCTGCCACCAACCGGCTTTTCAAAAGAATAATCCCCGTATCACTTACACTTTGTGAATGTTTTCCTTTTTGTTAAGTCGATAACTGCAGAGGTTCACTTCAGGGCTTCAATTCTGTAGAGATTATCCAGTACAGCTGAAGCAAACTTGAGCCAAATCGTTTTATTAAATGCACTCCCTGTAGGTTTTACTTCTAAATAGTCATATTTCCTTATCGGAGATGAGCGTATATCATAGCAAGGGGCCGTCCGCTATTGTACAGCTATTACCATATTTTATATTGAGGTTTCATATCTAAGTGCATTTACCTTAACGGAGATTGGAAATTATTGACTCTATCCATTTGAGGTATATAACATTGCTTATACCCCAGACACAATACCTATTACTGGAAACGAAAAAAAAAACTTGAAAGTATCAAGCGGTTTTGTGGTCAATTCCGTGATGATTATCTCGCAAAAGCAATAACGATTTCCAGGAATATTTAATAATGGCAATGAAGCTCTCATGTATATTTGAGAAGATATATTCTGTATGTAAAATTGTTGACTTTGTAACCACAGATGAAGCGGTCCTCTTTAATGTAGCCGATGATAAAGTGAGTAGTTGAAACCTGAACCCGGGCGCCCTGTAATATAATATCATGCGTTATTACAGGTGGTTTGGGCTTTGTTTTACCGTCAGATATATATGTTTTTAAAGGACAAAACAAAATTCCAATTTAAAACAAAGCCTACCTAAACTTATTAGCTGAGCACAGAAGGTGAACACACAAGAGCCCTCTTTTTGCACTTCTCTAATTAAGAGCCAGCAAAATTACTGCCGGAATAATAAACGACGAAGAAAAGATATTACATTACATAACTTTCCATAAAGGAAAAAAAAATCCTAATATTCTTGGCGTCGATTATACTTCATGATCTCTACACCCGAGATATTATATTGAGCTCCCTGATTGACCAAACATGTCGCTTTCTGCCCTTAATTTCAGGAAAATATCGATCTATATACAGCTATTTCAAAAAACGTTGTCGGGGAGAACGGCGAACGGCGATTGTCGAAGTTAGATTGCATGACCGAAAGGGACTATGGTTACACTGTTTTGATAAACAAAAATTCAGTTATTGGATTCATAGAAATGATGACTAAAATGGAGTCAATGTTTACCACAGACCATTTTGCAGTATAAATCAGTTGTTATTGCCTTTCAAACAGCAAAACCCATGACTACTTGCGGTCGTGCAATCGCCGTTCGACAATTGACATTCGCCATTTTATCTGACAACCTTTTTTGAACAAGAGAGGAATAAGAGCTTTAAAAAAATCATTTCAGTCATTTGAATATACAGTTAGTTGCATCAATAATTCTCACCCGATGCCTAACATCAAAGTGTCTGTCCTTAGAAATTATGGGATACCATCGTTGGAATTTTTTTTAAGTACTTGTTTTGGACAACTCAAAAATATCAGCGGTGAAATTCCATTATATTAAAGTTCACTTTGGTATATTTGAAATATTGCAGAGGTCGTAAAATTGATTGGGAATTGTTGCATTCTGACCGCTAATATATATCACTATATCATCAGGAGCATGATAAATCGAAGTTAACTCCTTTTTTGTCATCAAACTACAGAATATGTTTTAATAACTCTATTAAAAAAAGTCTGATAAAATCACAAAGTTTTATTAATTAGCAATCATAATTAGTGAGAAAAGAACGTTATGAAAAATCACATAAAATGATGTACTCGACATAGCGATATATCCTTACTGTCAACGATTGAATATCGATGAATTTATTGCAATTCATGCCCTAAAAATTGAATAAAGCCTCCATTCGCGCTAAATATTCCTCGTCGGTGTGTGCATTACATGAATGCGTAATGATGGTTAAGGTATCAGCGTACCCACGCGACCCCTACTTGCGTCATCGACTATAACTTTCTTGTTGTTTTTCAAATGTTCACAAAGTATATATTTTCTGAAACTTAGTAATTGTAGTTTATGCCTATAAGTGTTTGCAATGCATTTAAAATTACGTTTTAGAGTTATTAGCTCCATTATCTGAAACTACATGCCTGTATAAAACGAACTCCAAGTCTGAAAAAAATCAAAAAAATGTGACGGTTTTGGGTACGCTGATACCTTAATATAATTTGTCTTCGTTTTTCGACCAATAAAACCTCACGCACGAATGAGATTCGACGTTTCAAAAATAATTTATGTTTTGCGAGTATTCATATGCATATCTATATTTCGAGTGGAATCTGTTTATCTACATTGGATAAATCTCATATTTCGTGCAGTAATTTATATCATTATATCGGTTGCATCATGGGTAATACCATCTAAATGGTTCTCACCACTCGCTGAAACAGATCACAAATCATTCAAATACTTTGAAATTATGTTTATTAAAGGCTATTCAAGCTTATCTGTAGTTTTATGACAGATTAAGAACGGTTTAAATTTGAAATACAGTATTAACAACCCTGATATATTTATTTAAGCTGCTGTAGCTACAATTCTATTAAATCATCTAAAAAAAACGTTTGTGTAATTATAAGATCAAATCACAATAGGTATCTTATGCAAACTGTGGGAATATTCAGTTCGCTGCAGTCCAAGGTTTTCATAATAAGGTCACTCTAGACTTATGACGCTGGCACAGACGGAGAAATAACATTCTGGCAAAACAACAAAAAATAATTCAAACCTTCCGCACAAAAACACAACAATGCTGCCGACAGCCGGCTTCGATGCTGTCATTCATCGACTGTCCGCCATCTTGGATTATTTTGCAAGAGTTTACGGTCTTTACGTTACGAATTTCAGTTCATTTCATATGCCGACTGAAAAGTGACTTTGGAGAATTAGCAATGATGTTTTAAAGCTGCTAGAGATGTGCTCAGAAACAATAAAACATCTTGGTTGTTTATATAATTCATTTGTTTATATTTAGTTTATAAGCAATTCATGGAGGAAGAATTGCCGACATTAATTTGATCAGTTGGATCGATTTCTCTTCCCTTTGTAGTACTAATGAGGAACATTTGCTTTATGCAGCAAATAGTTTCCTCTCTTCAAATCAATCCACTATCTACATGACCTACATGAGAGCAAATCCATCGATTATAATCTTTTAACTTAATATAAACTATCCAACTCGTAACGCTTAAGCTGGTAAGTAATACTTCTACTTATGCTCAAATATTAATTATACTTGATTCTATAACATAATCCCCCTAATGGTCCATAGTCTATTGAGTTGATGAACAAGATCACTAGAGAATAGCACGTTGTACACCGTGTACGTAAAGCAACGTCAAGAGGTTTGATAGAGCAAAGTTAAAAGTCAGCCATTTAATTTCTTTGGTCATTAGCTAGCACCGCCCTTGCTTCAATATAACACACGACAAAACAGGATTTTAAAGACGAGCAATGTACATCAAATATCACAGGTTAAACGAAGCTACAGGCAAATGTAATATTGACTCAAAAATGTTGTGCTTGGCTGGATCATCAATCCATTAATGAGCTAATATTATGAAATGGAATACTTACAGATCATAGAGGCGTCTTACCATTATAACACTGTAACTAGCAAGCAAAACCACGTATTCAAGGATAATTTTGTTGTGGGCAACTCGCTACATCCAAACAACCATTCTTTGAATTCACTGCGTGATTTGACTCGGGATATCAGTCGTGCCATCGTGATACAAGGGCATATCAATCAGCGTTGACGTCTTCTGATTTCACTGCCCCACCTAACGGGTTATTTTTTCGAAACTTGATGATGTTTTTTCAATCATCTATATTGTATTTTGTTGCACTATATAGTCTCTGGAAGCATTCTGTACGTCACTCGCTTAATGATGCACAACTAAAATCTGCTAACTGGCTTTTTTAGTGGTTGAAATATTAAACATTTTCTTGAAAAGTGAAAAAATTATTGAAGGACGCTTATTTTGATGACATGGTGGAGCTCACATTATAAAGTAATCTATTTTCCAGGCTAGTAGTACATCATGGTCATTGCCTACGTTACCTTAATTGTTTTTTGATTCAGATTTTGTATAGTTTTTGAAATGGTTAATGACGAAATCAATGACTTATTCATTTATTTAACCAAGTATATTCTCTATTGGGAATACGAATAAACCTGGAAATAGACCTGCGGCCTAAACAACAGCATATATTGAGCAATTAAAGTTTAAGTATTGTTATCAGTATTTACTTGGAAAATATCCTAAAAAAATGTTATTTAAAAAATGTATTTTAATAATAGGAATAATATTAGGAAAAGGAAACAGAATGTGCCTATTGAAATATTCTTAACTTTGATAATCGTTATCGATGCTTTTGCAGAAGAGCTAGAAAGAGTCGTGATCATGAATGATATGTCGAGCGAATCCACCGAAAATAGTCCAGCAGGCTCCAATGATCTCAAGCAAAGGCCACTTCGTGTATTTAATGTTCGGATATGGCCGCTGATAATTGCTAAATATATCGTGATTATTGTAAGATATGAACACTTGACATATCGATCAATAAATTAGATCAATGTATCTGATACGCCGGGTAGTTTACGCTTTTGAAAGCGCAAGAATCTCATGATTGCCGACCTTATCTTTTTTCGTGTAAATGACCCGGTTAATGTTTTAAATAGCTTTAAAAAGAGCGTGTTTTATCATGTCGGATCAGAGAATCTGGTTGTAATTTCCTTCAAAAATGACTGCCTCCAGTAAAATACGAAGCGTTGAAATATTGTAAAGATGTCAAAGTTCAACTGTTAACGACGGAGCAAAGGTTCGGATTTGCACGCATAGAAGTGGCAAACATAACAGCTATAGCCAGTGCTAATCACTTTTCGGGAACACTTTAAGGAACAGATTTCCCCGAAAATAAAAGAATACAGAAAACCTAATGCCATATAAGTGATTACTCGTGAGATATATAGAAACATAAGAGGAAATGTAATCTCGTGTGGCACGTCACGTTACATCCGCCATATTGGATGGAAATAACAAAGCATTCCACAGGCCACCCAAGATCAATTCTTAAGATTATGAATTCGCGGTGTCAAAGTACGAACCGTGGGTTCGATTTTCGTCTGGAGCACGTCGAAAAGAAATATAGTCTTTTACATCTTTATTCATCTATTTCTGAAACATAATTTTTTTTCGAGTTTTTTTTTATATCTTCCCTCATTAGTTTCTCTTATTCAGTCATCGAACATGGCGGCGAAAGCTCTTGGTTATTTTTTATGGTTATTTTTTTAGTTTTGTTTTTGTTTTGGTTTTGATTTTAGTAATTATTTCTTTTTTTCTTTTTCTTGTAGTGGGATTCTTGCGTTCAAGTAGTTGCAAAACAAGAATATCTGATACCATCTCGAATTTAGAACCTTTCCCAAAATGGTCACAGCTTATTTATAGTATAACATTTCTTTTTGATGAAAAACTAAACAAATCCTGAAATTCTTACAAAGTATACTTCACTTAGAAAGTTTGCAAAAATCTAAAGTTGGTTCCATAGAAAATCCATAGAAATATAGATTTGTTCATATATTATAACAGAAACTGTGTTTCTTGAAGGTCATGACATAAAACCACCAAACTGTCATATAAATTAGGCTGATTTGAAAAACATAGAATACTCAAGGTTTGATTAGAACATTCTAGGGTTAATCAACTTCTAAGTGAAGACATTACTTTAGTGTCTCTTGGGTTATCTGGTGTGAGTTTGAATTTCAAATATTTATTTATAGAATATACACCTACTTGCGAAAACGTTGTCATAAAAAATAGGACATTTGTGTTTTAGTAAAAAGGAATAAATTAAAAAGACAAAAGAAGATCACTGAGGCTGAACGCTTTCTTTTGTCTTGTTTTAATTTATTCCTTTTTACTAAATTCGAATGTTCTATTTTTTATGACAACGTTTCTGTAAGTAGGTGTATATTTATGCTCGTAAACAGCGAACAATTTGGTGAAGGCTCATCTTTGATCTGTAGATCTCTTTTCTGGAAATAGCAATTATGTCGTAACTTCCCATCTAAGTATGGAACAGATTTGTTTTTCTGCCTGAATAACACTATATTACCAAAAATATACCTACTGACCTCAAAGAAGAAGCATGTCATTGTTTAATCAAACGAGCTGATGCAAAAAAAGGAAATAGAAATAAAAAAAGGGAAAGGATCCTGTTTTTAAAAATGCATTTTTTTAGTGATCCGGCGAATGAGGTCGAAAAGATAAGATGTTATGAAGAGCTTATTATCCTTTGTCAAGAATGCTTACAATTCTACTCAAAAGTACTCAAGCTTACATTTGCTCATTTCCCACGAAAACTAGAGGGACAATTACACCTCGTGCGTTTGTGTAGCCTAGAGAAAACTTGGTGGTGTATATCCGGGACATTTAATACATACATTGAGACTGCTTTGGTTATTTCACAATGTGTGTTCCATTCGGTATCGCGTAATTTAAAGCCAGATGTTTAACGTTGAAGGCGCGGTGGCGGTGCACTTTTTCTCTTTAGTGATTGGAGGTTAACGCTCAGATCTTCAGGGCGGTGTAGTTATCTAATTGCATTCGATACAAATAAAGAAACTCAATTTCACTCCAACAACAGTTAGCTTTTAAGATCTTGACATCTAGATATAAGTGTTCTTAATTTATAAGCTGGAAAAACTTTTTATATAAACAATGCGGTTCAATAATAATCTCTAAAAGTTACATTCGTAGTTATAGTTCAAAGTTATATTCGTAGTTGCACTTTCGATTCTTTGGACGCCGTAAGAGCTGTTTGAAGCATATCTGTTTAAATAATGTTAATACTTTAAATCATGTATTTCTTACTTTATTTTATTTTATTCCTTTTTTGGGACATGACAACATTTATTATTATTAGGCAGCACTAGCTACTGACATCTTGTCTGACGAATTGTTGAAATGGTTTCTAAACGGTCTAAAAAGATAAAGAAAGATGCAAGAAATTGCGCAAACTGCCGCATCTTTTTCAATGTATTCAAAAGATACAAGGAAGCCGCAATCATAACTTGGCTTCATGCAAACGTCGGCAAGATCGTCGGCACTGTAGGATCGCTCGGAAGATAATATTGAGAGGCACTGCTGGATAGGTGCCGCAACACAACGTTATGAAGTTATCAACTGTATTAATCATTTCAAGAAATGTTGTCGTGGGAAACAACTCACATGAACGAGAGTAATAGAGCGGATTTCGTATGAGTGGGAAACGGACGGTACTGTACTGTGACCGTAACCGTACTGTAACCAAATTCTAGTGCCCCAYTGGTTMACCAAAAWTKTKMAGGCCAGGTCCGGTAACTGTGCGGTAACCGTGCGGTAACGGTGTCCCACTCATACGAAATCCGCTCTACACCTTTACCTTAATGGCCGCCATCTAATTAACATAAATTTTTAAAATTTGGAATTTTAGTCAAAGCAAACTAACAGGTGATAGGAACCTGTGCTAATAACAACATATAAAAGTTTGTAATGAAAATATTAAATTCTGGCAAAGTTATAAGGATTTAAAATATATCATAACACCAGAACGAGGCTATAAAGGCCTTGGCTGAAAATTACATACATTTCTTTTTTCATTTGGCCATAAATTTGTTCGCATTTTATCCAGGGCTTTAAAACTTTCCAGAAATGTTTATTTCATTCACATGACAGTGACAAAGTTTTCACATATTTCATATTCAGAAACAAATAGACAGACAGCCATTGGTGGAAAATTACATACATTTCTTTGTATTTCTATTTCATCATAACTTTTTTCCTATTTTTTCCTGAGTTTTAAAACGTTCCAAAAACGTTTATTTCTGATAGTTCTTTGATGTTACAGTGACAAAATAACCATATCCATTTTATTTTGGAAAAACACAATTGCAGCCATTATGGTAAAGGTGTATGGGCTGCACTTTGACAAAAGTTATTTTAAATCGTATCAATTTCTATTAATGCCATAAGAATTTGATTATAGAACAAACAGTTAATTTGCACATTAAGAATATTAACCATGGTTCCTGTCGGTCGCCAGTCATCATATGAAAGGTTTCAACAATCAACGTCGTTTACATCAACTTTCACGATAAAATTACGGACTATGGTCGAAATGGGACCCCAAAAACCCCTGTATCTCGACCTAGACGTTTTGAAATTCGAATAAGTGGGATTTTTCGCTTCGACTTTGTATAAATCTGACGTTTTAAAAACAACACTTTAATTCGGATATATTCATTTATAGACCATACGAAACAATATTGTAGTGAAAATTACATCATGGAAAACAATATTGTAGTGAAAATTACATCATGGAAATACAGTAGTTTGTTCTGTAATTTTCTATTTTATTTTGTATCATATATATTTTACTTGAATAAATTTCGCTGAAATCGATTAAACGTCGCAGCAAAACTCAAAATCCCAATGAAATTTTGAGATTGTGATGAAAGGGTTTTCGCTCTGACGACGTTAAAGCTTGGCAACAAAAACTAAAGCTCACCGTCTTCAAATAGATTATTACCGGACGTCAAAGTTGGTTTCGGAGGTCTATGTTAAAATGTAATGGCTTCTTAATGGCGAGTTAAACGTTGTGTAAACATCTAAAAAGACCTTCAACACAGTACATTAAAATCCCATTTTCCATCGGCGGGTACTTTTAGACCAAAGCAAACATTTAAATTACATCGTTTTTCATGTTTATATTGTAACAAAAACAGTTTGTATATGAAATCAAAAAATGAAGCACAAGGAGCGCAGCAGTAAACAAACAATCGAAAAATACTCCAAAAGAGCAAAACAACAACAAGAATTAAAACAATCACATGCCAATCACAATGCTATAATATATGATCTATTAACTCTGCTATAAACAAGCTTATGGAAGCATCACACATTTACTAGAATAGAGTCTTGTATTCTCGTACCACTACTCATAAATTCCGAAGGTACTCTATTAACGACCAAATAAAAGATTGAAATAATTTCATTGAATCTGGCTTCAAGTAAGGTTGTCTGATATGATAGCGACTGACAATCAAATTGTCGACCGAGATTTCCGAACAAAGAAAGTCATGGTTTTTGCTAGTTAATATGAAATAATTCCCGATTTATATACTGTAAGATAGTTTAAGTAAACACTACCTCCTTAGTCTCTAGTTTTACGCAAGACGAGCTCAACAAGTGAAAGTTTGTCTGACAAACAGCGTAAACATATACGGTCCATTATACACCGACGCGTCGCGCCGCTCGCCGTTCTCGTTTGTTGAAATGGATGTATACAGCTAGAAAATCGATGTATTGTGGATAGTAATACATGTATTGGAATAGTTCAAATTATAATTCGAATGAACTATTCCAATACCAAAACGCATATGGCCCATTAATGCCCAAATGCCCAAATGCCAGTTTCAGAATTAACTGTATACCAGCTACATTGATCGAGTGAAGACCTGCGATGGAAAGCAATTCCTAGAAATCAAAATTAGCATTTTGAATAACACTTTCTAAAAATGACGATGCTTTCCTGTCTTTGCAGAGTCGTAGTTCTAACGTTTTCTGAAATTGCTGCAAATCCTTTCTTCATATTTCATACTTTAGTTGCCGTAAGAAAAGACCCTAATTTAAGCCTTCGTCGCCTATCATCATCGGTTAGTTTTAGATGTTGTAAAAGACACCTAATAAGCCTTTGTTGGCTATCGCCGTAAGTCAGTTTCTCTCAACATATCTCGACTAATCTCAGCTGTTTTAGACCGTGTTTCTTAGCACTATTTGCGATATGTGCATTCTGATATCGCAAACGATATGACAGGTCTTAACGTCTACCGAGAAAATATCTTTATCCCTCCGGGCAGATTTATGCATAATTAATCAAAATGGATGCCGTGAGACGTTTCAAATGTAGTAAGTGTTTTAAATCCGGGATTGAGACAAAATCCGCACAAAAGATTTTACAAATCTTCGCCACGCATCGCACGGCCGCAGTGAGCAGACTTGACAACATGGGCGATGTAATTCCTTGATAGACTAAAATGACATAATCTTTTAAAAATCGCTTAACTTCTCCCATAGACGCTATTAATAATTGATGGAAACTGGATAAAATGGACTTGATAGCTGCGTCAAACGTTTTAAAGCTAATTGTAGCAAAAGAAAGTCTAACCACGGCCGTCCACGTAAATATTGATAATAATCATGGGTCGAGATGACACGACATTCTGACTACCATAAGAGATATTGCTTATTCCTCACTTTAGTTGTCAATAATTTATATTATAAGAAAATAAAATCAAAACTTATTATCCATTGTGTAGTTTCAGTCCAGGCGTCCTTGCGAATATTACTTTTTCTAGGGATTCATTGCTTTTTCGTATATTTAAGCCTCGTTTTCCCAAAAGACGCAAGAGCAAGCGCAGAAGCAAGGGCAAACAATTGCACTTGCGTTGCGTTTCGTTTTCATTACCAAAATAAAGTGTAAGAGCAAGCGCAAGCGCAAGAAAAAATTTTGATATCTTGCGCTTGCGCTTGGCATATCATTGCGTGGGGTGGTTTCCACTTTGAAAAAAAGTCTTCTTGCGTTTGCGCTTGCTTCTGTGCCCACTAAATTCTGGCGCAACTTTATTTTGAGTTTTCGGCCTTCTTAAGCATACATATTTAAAGTAAAGCTTTAAACATTTGTTTTAAACTTTTTTCGTACAGAACTTTAATAATGTTTACAATTTTGTGGCCGTTGAATCCCGATATTAACTAACAAAAACAGATCGAAAGGCGCTGA